CGCCGGGAGGGAGCCAGCGGCCCTGAGCGCGGAGGAGTGCAGGGGAACCAGCCTTCCCAGAGCCCGAGTCGTGCCGGAGGCTTTGCAGAGGAAGCCAAGGCGTGCGCGTTTATTGGAAAGAGCGGGACAGTTTTCACGAACGTGGGCACTTGAGTCTGGAGGAGCCCCAAGACGTCCGGAGGATACTAGGGTTTCTCTGTGAGGCTCGGACCGTCGCGCGGGCACAAACAAACCCGGCAGGGAACCGCTGCGGACCCAGCTGTGCCCGCGGCGTCTGTAGGTGCGGAAGGGAAGACCCCGCGCGAAGCTCGGGGCTGAGCGCTCGGGGCGTGGCCGCGCTGGCGGGACGCCCTGGGCGGGGCTGCGTCAGAGGCGGAGCCAGAGGCAGGCGGATTCTCCGTGACCGGAACGTGAAAGCTCGCCGCGGCTCGTAGATCGGACGTCTGCAGTTGCACCGCGGGTCGGAACGCCGAAGGACGCGCGCCCGGAAGCCGCCCGCCAGCGGCTGGAGGAACTATGGCTGCCGTGGTCCTTGGGCCCGTCGCGCGCGCTCTGCACTCTAGGAGTTGGTGAGTGCGGATGCCGCTTGGATTGCGGGGAACCAGGGGCCCGTGTGACCGGGCGCCGCGCTGGCCCAGGTGGCTCTGGAATCTCGAGTTCCTTTGGCACACTGAACATAAATATATCAGAGATATTGTATATGAGCCAGTTAGATGATCATGCCTCATCCATAGACGAAAAACGAGGACCTTAGGGAGGAGACAAGACCTGCCAAGTTTGGTCCGTCTCTGTGAAAAGGAATTCTGAAAAGATCTCCTACATTAACTTTTGCGGTCACATTCGGTACTGCCAGGCACCCCAGGTTTGGGGGGGACATCGTAGCTCCACCAGCCCCGTTACCCTTTGAATCAAATATTTATGCAAAAAAAAAAAATCAGCCTTTGAATCCAAGCTCATTTTTATCCTGCTAAGAGATGGGATCGCCGGGAATACCAGTTGATTTACGGCAATAGCGATCTTATTCTAGGCTTGTTTCTTTCAGGCACCTGGGGATCTGGCAGACTCAGATTAGAGAGACCCACCAGCGAGTTTCTATGTTTTCCTTTTGGGAACTCATTCCGATGAGGTAAAAACTCAACCTGATCTCCTGGGAATGTCATTGGAAGAGAGATGTGCCCCCTAATTGACCAGAGCAAGTCTGGTGTCTATCTGGTTAGCAAAATTAACAGCCTACAGTGTTTTCTCATCATTAAAATTAGGTACTTTTGAACATTCTTTACATGTAATATTGCTTTCTTTATACTAAAAGGCAACAAGAAACACACACATACCCAAAAAACTCACTGCAATTGAGCCAATACCAACTCATAGCAACCCTATAGGGGCAGTTCTGAGATTGGAACTCTCTTTTAAAAAAATCATTTTATTGGGGGCTCATACAGCTCTTATCACAATCCATACGTACATACATTGTGTCAAGCACATCTGTACGTTTCCATCAACATTTTCTTTCTACTTGAGCCCTTGGTATCAGCTGCTCATTTTTGTCCTTCCCTCTCTTGATAATTTATAATTTTTTTCATGTCTTATACTGATCAATGGCTCCCTTATGTAGATCATTGTAATCGGTTCACCCTTTCTCCCCGCACCTCCCCCTTCCCCTCCTGGTATCACTACTCTCACTATTGGTCCCGAGAGGTTTATCTGTCCTGGATTCCCTGTGTTTCTAGCTCTTATCTGTACCTGTATCTGTACATGCTCTGGTCTAGCCGGATTTGTAAGGTGGAATTGGGGTCATGATAATGGGGGAGCATTAAAAAACTAGAGGAAAGTTGTATGTTTCCTTGATGCTCTACTGCACCCTGACTGGCTCATCCTTCTCCCACAGAGGTGGTTCTAAACTGCTGGCCTTGTGTCTAGCAGCCCAAAGTATAACCACTCTGCCACCAACACAGTTTAAATAGAGATGAATTTACTTTGAAGAGAATGTGTGTTTTGAAGGGCACCATATAAAGTTTCTCTAGGAGCATCCCTATTCCCTCCCACTCCCAATGCCCTGGTCAAGGACTGTGAGGTTCTGAAATTAAAGCATCTGTGGATGCTTCCCGGACTTTGACCCACGGAAATTCAGGCTTGGTGCTACAGACTGCGATTGCAACTCTGGGAAATGTGTCCCTGAAAGACTGAAGTGAACTTCTGACAGTGGTGTTCTAGGATGGAATTTGTAAGAACAAATAGGGCTCATACCTACTACACGCCAGCCACAGCATTTTTACAAATCACAGATCCATTTAAAATGTGAATAAAGAGTTTCTAATTCATTGGTTTGTTTGTTCCCCCCATCCTGCACCCATATTTCAGTATACTCCCTAGGCTCCCAAGCACAAAAGATTCCCCATCATGGATACCCTTGGGGTGGGGGGATTCAAAAAGTTGATGGGCAAATGAATGAAAAGATAGTAGAGCTTTGCCCACACACTTTCTGAAGCCCCTCCTACAGCATGGTTTCCATACCTTCCATGGTGTTGACGGTGCTGACCCATGAGGTTCTCATAGTACTTTGCAGCAGTAGTTTGCTTTCTCTGTCACCTCACCAGGAAAGCTGCCCATGGTGCACAGCACAGTCTGAGTAGGGGGGCAGTCTACCATGTCATCAGCTCTGAGGAGGAGCGGGTTTAACACCTGTTTTGTGTATTAGAGCTGAACCTCTTCGGAAGAAGAAAAAGGTTGACCCCAAAAAAGACCAAGCAGCAAAGGACCGTTTAAAGAAGAAGATCAGACGCCTGGAGAAAGCGAGCCAGGAGCTAGTTCCCATAGAAGATTTCATCACCCCTGTGAAGTTTTTAGACAAAGCCAGGTAAGGAGTCTCCTGTAGAGTTGAGGTCATGGTGCAAAGTACCTGGGTCATCCACTTCAGGTACTTTCATGTGGGGGGCTTCAAATCCTCTCCCAATTTCATTTCCCCCACCCCAAATTTCTTGGAACCCACCTTGTCAGTACAGTTCAAGCCATCCAGTCATGGGAAGGAGGCTAGAGGCTTGGGTTGACAAGGCCCTGGGCTGAGTCCTATCCTCCCGGACCGTTGCCTTATGGTAGTTGGAGAAAGGGTTCAGTGATGCCCTTGAGTGGCTGAAGATGTCCAAGAAAGAGACCCAGGGAACTGGGTGATGATGGGAGGTCAGCGCTGCCGGTAGTGGCTGACTCCATTTGTCTTGCTGCCATCGCTTGGCAGCCCTTGCCCCCTTTGGGTGGTAGCCTCTTGCCGTCTGATTCAAAGGCTCCTGGCTGGCATCTGTTGGGATTATGTTATGTTGTGTGGGTTGGCAGCTCTTGGGTCTTGTTCTTGCTGCCTTGTAAGAAGTGCACCATTTACAAAGGAGCACCTTGTGGGGCAAGTGGCACATGCCCAGGCTTTTTCTTGCAGGACAAGCCTGTAGGATTTAGCTAAGCTTGTGACCAGCTGGGATTTTTGTTTTGTTTTTTAAATCATTATATTGGGGGCTCATACAACTCTTAACACAATACATACATACATCATGTCAAGTACACCTGTACATTCGTTGCCCTCATCGTTCTCAAAACGCTTGCTTTCCACCTGAGCCCTTGGTATCAGCTCCTCACCCCTTTCCCTCCCTCCCCTCCCTCATGAACCCTTGATAATCTACAAATTATTATTTTATCATACCTTATACTGTCCGACGTCTCCCTTCACCCACTTTTCTGCCGTCCATCCCCCAGGGAGGAGGCCACATGCAGGTCCCTGCAATAGGCTCCCCTCCTCTACCCCACCCTCCTCCACCTTCCCGGCATTGCCACTCCCAGCACTGGTCCCGAAGGGATCATCTGTCTCAGACTCTCTGTGCCTCCAGCTCCCGTCTGTACTAGGGCACATCCTCCAGTCCAGCCAGACCTGTAAGGTAGAATTGGGACGATAGTGGGTGGTGGGGAGGAAGCATTCAAGAACTAGAGGAAATTGTGTGCTTCATCAATGCTACACTGCACCCTGACTTGCCTGCCTCCCCACCATGGCCCCTCTGCAACGGGACATCCAGTTGCCTCCAGATGAGCCAGGGTCCCCAATCTGCACTCCCCCTCATTCACAATATGATTTTTGTTCTTTGATGCCTGATACCTGATTCCTTTGACACCTCGTGATCACACAGGCAGGTGTGCTTCTTCCATGTTGGCTTTGTTCCTTCTAGGCTAGATGGCCGCTTGTTTACCTTCAAGTCTTTAAGACCCCAGACGCTATATCTTTTGATAGCCAGGTATCATCAGCTTTCTTCAACACACTTGCCCATGCACATATTTGTCTTCAGCGATTGTGACGGGAAGGTGAGCATCATGGAATGTCAGTTTAATAGAACAACGTGTTCTTCTATTGAGGGAGTACTTGAGTGGAGGCCCAATGTCCATCTGCTACCTCAATACCAAACCTATAAATATATGCACATGGATCTAGTTCCCCATCATCATATATAAATATATTTACATATGTACATGCCTGTATTTAGGCCTCTACAAACACCCCGCCTGTGACTTGCTGGGGTTTTTATGCCTATCTTCACAGGCGCATGCTTCTCTTTTGCTAAGTAGCTGCCCACCCAAGGCCTGGGGTAGAATTGCTCTTTCTCCTCCTCTGTCCCAGTGTCAGACACAACTGCTGCCACACTCCACCTCTTATTCCCCAATCTATCCCCTGCTTCTTGGTCTCCCGCCATGGGGATTCGTGCATCACTTGGAATCCCTTGTCAGCCACACTCACCTGTGGACACTCATGTTTGTGTGTGCTTCCAGACATCGGTCCCCGGTAGAGCTCTCTGAAGAGGAAGCTGAGCACCGTGCACTGCTTTTCAAGAAGTGGTCCCAGTACAAGCAGCAAGAGCATGAAACAGAGCGGGGCACCACCCGGTCCCTGCTGGAGGCCCAGCAGGAGGCGCTGGAGGAGCTGCGCCTCACCTCCCCAGAGCTCCACGCCCAGGCCATCAAGCGGGACCCCAACTTGCTCCCCTTTGAGAGGGAAGGGCCATACCACACACCCCCAGTCCCTACCTACCAGCCCCCTGAGGGCAGGTACAACGACATCACCAAGGTATACACACAGGTGGAGTTCAAGCGGTGAGCTGCAGAACCTACTGACCTTGAGAGCCTTGAGGACCAGGGCTCATGCTGGTTTTTCCAGGAAGGCAGCAGGCTGTTAATAAACTCAACTTTACTCCAGAAAGCCTCGTTTATTTTTGTGCAGAGCCAAGTGAATTCACCTGAGTGCTGTGGGCAAAAGGTGTAGGCCTCACGTTGCCAGGTCCTGGGAAGCTGACTAAGGCCTCCGGCTCTGCCCTCAAGTAGGGGAAGTGAGTAGATAGAAGGGAGTGGTCCAACTGGGGGATGAGGAATGGCACTGCTGGGAGACAGGTCTGAAACAACTATCTGATGGCGCAGGACCTGGCAATTTCCTTCTTTTTGTCCACAAGGCCATTGGTTGGAACCAACTCAGGGACGTCACCATTGCTCTAGGGATATTTATCACATGTGGAGCCTTGCGTGCTCACCACATGACAAAATAAAGGTCACATTGCAAGACCTCCAGGTGTTCCCCATTCTCCATCGGGAACCTCCACAGTACTCTCCTTTGCAGTTTTCAGTATCACCAAATTAAGAACATCAGTGCCTCAGTACCAGTTCATGAAACTCCTTTCAATAGAGAGGCTGCAGGGGAAAGGGTGGTCCTGGTTTTCTTCCCTTTTAAAAGAAACAGTGAAGAGGCACTTGAAAGTTGCAACTGGCATGTCATGTCTAGAGCTGCAGACTGTTGGAAAGGCACTGCTTACCTCTCGCACTAACCATTGTTTTTCATATTCTGAATACTCTGAAAGCAACTTAGCTTCTTCAAGTCTGTGCCCCCCTCCCACTCCCCAGGTGAACGTCACCTTGCACGTGGTTGCTGCACAGGCAGGGAACATTCCATCCAGAGCAATTATCTGGAGGGGGAACGTGTCAAGTAGCAAAGGCAAGCAAATTGCCAGCAATGGTGCTGCAGCAGGATGTACCTGTTTGGCTAGCCAGAGCAAGCGGTGGCAGTCTGGGAGTGCATTCAGCTGCCAGCGGCAGACAAATCATAACCTCACAAGTAGACCCAAGGGTGAGGCTCTGGTAAGGTGGACCCACAGGGCGGCAGTTTCCCAAGTGTGCTGGATGGGGCCCTAAAACTTCACCTGCACCTCAGTGTCTACCCACAAACCCAAGGTAGCTGCTGCGACTCCAGACCTCAGATACAGACTTTTAAGTTCGAATGTTCCTTCCCCATGTCCCTCTGAGTAAATACTTCTAGATCTTAGCCTCCTCTCCTCACTGGTCAGAAATGCTCCTTACCAAGATGAGGCTTTCTACTCCTGGAGTTAGTCTCAGAACTCAGGAGCAGTTCCACCCTGTCCTCTGTCATGAAGAAGTGAGTGTGGAAACGAGCCACAGCCATGAGGAGATAAAGATCCAAAGGGTTCCCCAAAGTGGGCAATCACTGGAACAATATAGTAGGGCTGCATAATCAGATACCTGTATCTTATCCTGGGTGAGCAGCTATGGTACAAGGTTTTCATTGCTAGGGGCTCTCAGTTTTTGTTTTTCTGAAGAGTAGTGTGGCAGTTATATATAATGTCAATTTGAGACTAAGAGTGAAGGGCTAGAGTATAGCCTGTCAATCAGGCTGCAGCCTCATTTGAGGCACTAAGGAGAGACATAGCTTGCTGGAGGTAGGACACATACTCACTTCACTCCCTGTGAGGCATGCTTACTGACAAGATACATGGAGCTATGCTAGAGCCCTGGAGCTGAAGGAGCCGTGTGGAGACCCCTGCCAGCACTGAGATGCCTCTACAGTCACTGGACCCACAAGACTTTCCACCCACTGGCCTGTGCTCTTCCTGCACTAGGTGTCATTGCATGTGTTCTGAGTCTGAAGAGGAATTCAAGGATTGGTGTCAGACATACGGGCTTTTGTCAGACTTACGGACTTGACCTGGGCGGGGCTGTTTTCTCAATATTCAGTTGCTCTTGTATAGGAAGCTCTTTCTTGTACACACGAGCGTCTATGAATTTCTCTAGTTTACCCAAACAGGCAGTAGGCCAAATAAATTTGGGAACCTATGGCTCAGACAAAATCAAGCCTACCTACCCTGCAAATGGTGGGGTGAGATGAGATTCGTACACTTTTACTCACTACTACTCGAGATCATAGGAGCACCTCCACCCCTTCAACCCTGGGGGACACACGTAAACCTTGGGAGTTACTCTTGAAAAGTATAGTACACACACAAGATGAGAAGTGTTCTTTTCTGTTTATGAAATGCTAAGATTATGTTTGTCTGCAAAAAGAATTGGAAAGTGTGGCCCACCATGAATGGCCAGGATGCAACCCAGCCATGAGGGAGGCAAGGAATAGCAGAGACAACTGTTGGACTCTGGGTCACCTCACCACACCACACATTGGCCTGCTGTGCATTCGTGCTGCCAGGATGTTTGACCAGCAGTAAGAGAAGGCTTGGCGGCAGAATGATGGGTTTTCTACTCCTGTAAACAGTTACGGTCTTGGAAACTCACAAGGAGCAATTCCACCCTGTCCTAGAGGGTCGCCGAGTTGGAATTCACTCAATGGCAGCTTTTGAGAGGGCTTGGGGAACCAAAGTTTTTGTTGGATTGTATACATCCAAGGAGGCTTCAAAGTTTTTGTGGAAAAAAAGCTATTATTTTTCCCACAATCTTTTTGAAGCTCCTTGTGTGTATTTACATTTTCCTATTTATTTAGGTCTTATCTTTTTTAACACCATTTTACATTTTCTTTAGAGATGTCTTACATAGTTTTGTTTCATATTTTTCCAGGCACATGGTAGCTTTTTGTTGTCTTGTTTGAAATTTTCTTCATCTTGTTGTTCATAGACACTTTGTAAACATTGACATGGTTATAAGCTTTCAAAATCTTAATACTGCCCAAGCACTTATTAAGCACACCCAGACCAAGTCCAACTCACTGCCATTGAGTCAATTCCGAATGACAGCAACCCTAAAGGGCAGGGTAGAATTGAGTTTTTGAGACCATAACCCTTTACAGGAGTAAAAAAACCCGTCTTTCTCATGCAGAGTGGCCGGTGATTTCGAACTGCTGACCTTGGGGTTAGCAGTCCAACAAAACCATTAGGTCACCAGGGCTCCTTAGGACCACACACTCGGTGTAAAAAATGGAACGCACATGGATTTAACTTCCAGCTTCTAGTTGGAATCAAATGTGTGAAAACAGCTCTTAAGTCACACAATTCCAAAAATGACAAGGGGAAATCTTGAGGGAAGAGACCGAAATTCCAGGTGTTTAGGGCTTGGGTTTTGTAAGCCACAAACTCATGAAGTGGGTTTCAACATGACTGTCTGTTCTGCGGCTATGCACACTGCTTACAACAGCATCTCTGAGGGAAGAGCTGGCCCAGGTGAGCCCCATCCTCAGTCCCACCTGGCTTCCTTGCCAAGCCCACGGAGAGAGGGACTCAGCTGTGAAAGTGAGAGAGTGGCCCATCTGTGAGCACCATGATTCCCAGGTTTGTGGCTGCCAACACTTGGGTCGCCAAGGCCAGGACACAGAGCCTGCATCACAAGGACCAATAAGGTCCTATCACCCACCACATAGCCAGCAACACCATCTCATAGTTGGATTCAGCTCCTCCCGTGTCCACAGGTCAGGGCAGTGGTGATGCAACAGATTCCCTGGGCTTTTCAGATGCCAGGTCTGCCATCTCCAGGTGGCTGTTTCAGGCTGTCCCTGGCTTTCCATAGACACCTGCCAAGTGCCTGGCTTCCCAGCAGCCCTGAAACCGGTGTTTTCAAGAGTGGTGAGGTGGGGTGCCCTGAGTACAGATGATGCTGGAGACACCCTGCTCTGTGGCCCAGGTCAGGTGGAGTTCTTAGGGACCCACCATAGTGAGCTGGTCATAGTCCTTAAGGTCGCCAGACAGGCCAGAGGCAGGGGATGGGGCCGATCCTCACTCATCCTTCTGTTGAGCCAGAGGGAGGTGCCAGTCTGCAGGGGGGCTGCGCCTCAGGGCCCACACCAGCGTGTACTTCTGCGCATTCTGCGCTCGGGCGCGCTCACTCTCACAGAGGGATCTCTGCAAAGGAGAGAGCAGTCATTCCTACCTCCCGGTCTCCTACGCACAGACTCACAAAAAGGAGTCAGGGAATAACACGTCGCTCTGCAACTTGGTTGCCTCACTTGGCATGTGTTCCTTGGGAGTACACATAGATCTAGATCATTCCTTGTCACAAAGCTACTGGGTAAAACCATCTTTGTCTTTTCCTGGGTCTCCAGGCTTCCTGGCTCCTGCTCACGGAGTGAGCCAGATGCTAGGGCTAAGATTGGAGAAGCTGAGCTTTGAGTGACTGTGGAGACCCTTGAAGAGCAGCAGTGATCTGATGGGCAAAAGATGGGGTGGGATGGGGACAAGGAAAGAATGGGGTAACAGGCCCCACGCTGCACATGGGGTCTCTCTCCTTCCAGCCCCCTGCTATTGAGTCAATTTCACTTCCCAGCCACACTTGAAAAGCCAAGCATAAGGGAAGCACCTTCCCACCAAGTGGGCCATCAGCACGGGTGTGTACTACCCTCTGGCCTCTTACAAGCTCATCTTCTCCATCTGCCTCCTCCTCTCCTTTCAAGCTTTCTCCTCCCAATAGAATGTGCATTCTGGTTTTGAAAACTGAAACGCAGAGGGCAATCTAAGGAGGCTTCAAAGCATACTCACTCCCCCACCCCCCATGTTCCTCCAAACTCCTTATATGGCAGGCTCCCAGGTCCTCTCTCTGAGGTGACCAGGCACAGCTTCAAGGGCATCTTGTCATGCCCAGTTAAATGAGCTAGCACGTGTTCCTCGAGTGAACCAGATTCTGCTGGTTTATCTATTTCCGCTACACTGTTTGGACTCATGGCATCCCCCAGGGCCTCTCCTACTTCATCCTTTACTAGGCTCCCACCCCCCACCCCCCAGCCCCCCGGGCCAACCGGCCGGCTCTCTGCTCCAGACACGAAGCTTAGTCAAGAAGTCACCCAGAGCCCTGTGAACCCCCTCCTCCAAGGGCCGGCAAACACCTGAACGTTTGCCAGGGCCCCGCCTCCCTCTGCAAGACTCTCGCCAACTCTTCCTGGCCTGTGGACCGGTCCTGAACGCCTCTGAAGGATGGCATTTCTCAAAAGAAGTGAAGCTCAAGGCGAAGGACGGGCTCAGTAGGATTCCCCACAGGGTCCTTGGAGCCTGGCACGAGGGCAGGGCTGGACACACCACACGCAAGGAGCTCTCGGAGGGTCCGCCCTGCCTCCCCCGGTCCCGGGTGCACCTGGGCCTCGGGGTTCCGATGCTGCTCCCAGTCGTGGCAGCTGGCCAGGTCGCGGCGCCACTGCTCGCAGGAGGGCCGTTCGCCGTGGACGTAGTAGTGGTGCAGGCGGTGCCTCGCGCTGCGGCACAGCTTCCACTCGGCGCGGTAGGTCTCGCACGGTCGCGGTGACTGCGGCAACAAGCGGGGCCTGAGCAGGGGCCGCAGCCCGTGCCCACCCCGCCGCCGGCCACCCCTAAGCCCGCCCAGCGAGGCCTGAGCCATCCCTGGACACACGCACACTCACTCGCCAGCTGCAGTCGTCGGCCATGTCTAGTCTAAGGAGGCACTGGCACAGCCCGCCCCAACGTCCGATGGAGACAAGAGCCAGCCGACAGCCACGCAATTGACCAGAAAAGGAACCACCGGTTTCCTAGCTGCTGTCAGTCCGTCTTGGCCCACTTCCTTGAGAGGCTCCAATGAGCCGGACGTCCGGAGCAGGCAGCCAGTGACAGCCCGGGCCTGGGAGAGGGGCGGGGCCTGGAGCGGGGCGCGGGGACCTGAGGTGGTGTCTTGCCCGGCGGGAAAGCTTGACCTGCGAACCGGTAACGGGGAGGGAAGAGGGCGGGCGGGGGATAAGATGCGGCCTGCCTAGTAGGGTAAGGGTGACCTCGGCCGCACAGCCCGCCACGTGAAATCGGTTCAGGCCAGGTGTTTGTCATTCTATAACTCTCAAAGGTCTCGTTAATGTCCCTTAGCAAAAACTGAGCATACCCTCCCTGCCAGGTTCTAGTCCCGGGCGTCCAGAGGACGGCGGTGTACTCACAGCATGAAGAGGACTGGGCCAGCAGAATATGGGGGAACGGAGGGGTGTGTGCAGGGAGCGGACGGCCTCGTGGGAAGGCATGGTCTTACAACTCCAGGGAGGCTGATTCTGCTAACATAGGCTGTTCCCCATCACCCCGCCCCCCATGTCTCTGTGGGTCGTCTGGGAGGGGGGGGGGAGCGTTGTACGTCATTGAGATTGGCTCTCCCTTTCTCCCCCCCACCCTCATGGTATCCCTGCTCTCAATATTGGTCCCGAGGGGCTTTTCTGTCAAGGATTGTGTGTTAGAGCTCAGTGTACACGTTCTGGTCTAGCTAGATTTGTAAGATAGAACTGGGGTCATAATAGTGGGGGGGGAAGGGGGTATTGAAGAACTAGATGTTGTGATTCCTTGGTGCTATACTGCAACCTGGCTGGCTAGTTCCTTCCTTGTGACCCTTCTGTGAGGGGAGCTGATACCAAGGGCTCAAGTAGAATGAAAATGTTTTGGAAATGATGGCAACATATGTACAAATGTGCTTGATACAATTGGTGTTATAAGATTGTTACAAGTGATTGTTATACGAGCCCCCAATAAAATGATTAAAAATTAAAAACAAAAAAAGAACATATACTGTTTAGATGACATGAAGTGGAAGATTTGCAAACAGGGAGATGCTATGTCACTAAAGGGTATGTCAGGCAGCAGCCAGAGGGTCTGCGCCAACCTCCTGTCTAGAAGCAGTTCTCCATTTTTTATGGATGAAATAATTTCCTAGGGAGTCCCTTAGGGTCAGGTCAATAGGTCCACCCCCCAAGTAACTCAGTCAGATGGAGATGGGTCCAGAAAGCCATTGTTTTACCAAAGGGGCTGCCAATCAGACCAGGGTGCAGCATATGAGGACCAGGACTTGTGCTGGAGGTGATCCCACTGTATAAGTCTGTAATGCTTCTCCTAGGCGGCCAGGGCAGGGAAGTGAGGCTTCATTGCACAGTAGGAAACGCTTAGCAATAACAAAAGTTCAAGGGCAGTGACTTACTGTGAACATGTCATTATGTACACACAATTTACAATTTGTGAGCCAATCAGGTCCTGCTAATGGTGGCTGCCCATCCACCATAGGGAGCCCACTGTTAGGGAAGCTGAGTCCCATTTAGGAGGGGTCAGGTATGTTTCCCAAACCACACCCATCACTAGTGCTCCCTCCTGATATCTGTGGAGACTGGGTCATATGACCAAGCCATGGTCACTGACATTTGTTGATGTAAGTGATCTCTGGGCTGGTTGGCCTGGAGGGGGTCATTTTTTCCTCTTCTGAGTATTGGAGAAGGGACCTCGTTGGCCCTTACCAACCTTGCCAAGGGGTCAGAGAGCTCCATTTCCACCTACATTCTGTAGGGCAATCCCCAGAGGGGCACTTTTCCCAGGACAGGGTATAAGCAGGGCACTTGTACACAGGCCTCCCTCTCCTTCCTGGTCACCACTGGCCATGTTGTTCCATAATCACAGGGATGCACGCCAGGTTTGAGTCACGGGCTGCTTTTCATTTGAAATTCTCACTGTTCCGGCATTAGTTTTATATACTCACTTACTGCAATTAAGTCCAAACTGACTCAGAACACTAAAGGACAAGGGGAAAATGCCCCTGTAAAGTTCCCAGACTGTAACTATACAGGACTAGAAAGCCCCAAATTTCTTCCAAGGAGCTGGTGGTGGTTTTGAACTGCCGACCTTGTGGCTCACAACTTAAAACGTAACCACTACATCAGCAGACTAGGAGAAAATGAAATAACCAGAGTGATGATCTCAAGCCTAGTGAGCACTAACCCAAACACCGCTGGAGCAGCAGAGCCATGGGCCACTTCATGCAGCAAAGCTGGGAGTGGGTCAGTAGAGGGGCAGAGGAAAGCTGGTTTTCAGCACTGACTGATTTGAATCTTCACTACTGGGTTTCCATTGCAAGTTGTTTTAGGACACTCTAAAATGAGTGCCAAACGAGACAGTAAAAGCAGGGAGGGTAGGCAATCTGGGTTTTCCTTCCAAGGAATGGGACTTAAAAAAAAATCATTATGTAGAATAAAAAGAGAAACACCTTTTCTCCAAACGCTGAATGGCAACCTGAGAAGGAAGATCTGGGGTGCCAAGTGGAGATATTCTAAGCCCAAGCAAAGGGCCTAAAATATACAATGACTTCAGTGAAATCAGAGAGAATGGCATCTGGAGTTAGAGCCAGGAATCCCCTCTGGCTGTCAGGGATGAGAAGACCCTGCCCCTGCTGAGCCGGGGGCAGCCCCCAGGTGGGTGGCCAGAGGGTAGGCGAGGAGGTGGCCACAGACTACTGGACCTCACAGGCAGGGCTTCTCCTTCCTCAGACCAAGCCCATCCTGGTGATGCCCTGCTGATGCAAGCCCAGCCTTCCAAGTTCAACACATGAATTCTAGGTCATATGTATCCGAGCCATCTGTCAGTATCGTAAGCCTGTCCGAGCCAGTAACTAAACAGCAACGTGTTGTAAGTGACTTTTATTTTCCAATCAGTCAACAGCCTGACTTAGGGTTTTCGACCCTTTTTACGCAATGACTGTCCTTCCCCTGAAAATGCGACGAATCGGCCTCCAGCATCATCCTGGAGGGGGTGGGGTGGGGGAAAGAGGAGAAAGTACTGTTTTCAGCAAACCCTGTGAGATTTACAACACAGGTTTTATTTCTTCTGTTGATGCAGGTTCCAGCCAGCCAATTCTCTTACTTTGCCACTCTTTGTAATAAAATGTACAGTGAACCCTCGTTTATCGCGGTTAATCGGTTCTAGACCCTACCGTGATAAATTTAATTCCGTGAAGTAGGATTCCTTATTCAAGTCAAAATGGTGTGCAACCTCCACGATTTTCTTGCCATCTTTGATCATATCCAAAAGTTTTACCTTTTCCTGGATGGTGGGCATCTTCCTCTGGCGCTTATTTTTATTGTCAGAAGGCTTAGAAGAAGCAGCTCGTTTAGGAGCCATCATAGGGCTTAGATAAAATTTCTTAAAAATCGCAAACAATTACAGTACACTGTACAAAAGCAAAAATGCATCTGATACGTAGCTCCGATACGTAGCGATGCAGATAGAAGCGTGTACAGTATGAGCCAATCAGTGGCAGTAATGACAGAGCATGCGCTGTTACGCAAAAACCGCAATAGAGTGAAGCCGCGGAAGTCGAAGCGCGAAGTGGCGAGGGTTCACTGTATTTTAAATTGAAAAAGAAACGGTATTTCGCTCACTTGGGGAAAAGTCAGAGGCAACAGCTGGGAGTTGGTGTCAGCCTTTGCCCCAGGTGGAAAGTATCTCCACAAGACTCCAATCTCACTGCCCTTCAGCCAGTTCTGACTCAGAGCAACCCTACAGGACAGGGGAGAAGTGCCCATCGTTGTCCTGCAGATGGGCTGTTGGTTTTAATTGCTGTCCCTGCAGTTAGCAGTACAAGTAATCCCGCCATCAAGGCTCCTAGAAACTACAGCGGGAAAAGCATTTGCCACCCCACTACCCAAAATAAAGCCCCCAGCAACTTTTCTGTACATGGCTGCATAAACTGTGATGAAAACTGTACTGGCTGCATAAACTGTGATGTACTTTTCTGTACATGGCTGCATAAACTGTAATACCCTCACAAAGGAATAAATCAACCCTGGAAGAAGTCCAGCTAGCATCTAACCCAGGGATACAGTGGGTTAAGCTGGGAGGCCAGTAGCAGTTTCAACTCACCAGCCAGCTCCTACTCTATCCTATGGGGTTACAGTGAGTCAGAATCGCCTTGGTGGCAGTGGTTCAAGTTTCTGAGCACCTAACAGGGACTCTCTGAATAGGTGCTGTGTCGATCTGATCAGCATCAATTGGTGGCGCCAGCGGTGTGGCAACAAGGGGCAGACAAGACGGGAAGTGAGTGGGTTCCAGCTGCTCACCACCTTTCACTGCCCTCAGGAGCCTGGAAAAGCTACTCAAACTCAAACCATCAGATGCAGGTGTAGGCACTTTGCCTCCCAGGATAACCGACTGGCCCAGAGGCGTGAGCATGGGGCCTGCCTCACAACACAGGGTCAGTCACATGCACATCATCCCATCCCCACACCGGCCATCTGTTCGGCTAGAAGAAGCCACCCATGGAAACTGGCTGGCAGCTCAAGAACTGCAGTGTACCATCACCTCAGGGCAATAGCAATCTGTCAGACAGGAAGGGCACCAGCTCTCCTGTGTCCGAACCTGGATGTGAGCACAGGACATGCTCAGCATCCCATGCAGATGCCCTAAGACTCAGACAGCATGGAACCCAAGAAGATTGGGAGGACAGGAGGCTAGAGATGAGGGGCAGGTCATGGAAACATGCTTGTGAACACAACAAGAGCCCTGGTCACCATGATGTGAATAAACCCCTCTTTAACAACGATAGATACACTCACCTCTTCAACCTTTTTGACCAATGGACGGGAATTCCTAATGAATGTGATTTTACCAAGTTTAAATTCGTAATTGGGAATCCCTCTGTAAAAAAAAAGTGAGAGAGACAGAGAGGGGAGAACCCTTGTTCCAGCAAAGAGACAAGAAATCATTTGTGACCAACATGTCTTCTTGGTGGCCCTCACAGTGTGGACTACCTCTGGCTGGCCCTCGGGCACTCCAGCACTGGTCCCTGAGGGAGGCAGGCTTGTTGTGGGTGCTGACTGCCCCC